GACATGGCATCCAAATAGTTTTGCATCATATAACGTGCACCACCGGTAAATGAAGAAGGTAATATCACACGTTGCCCAATGTCCGAAATATCTCTACTGCCACTTGCTTGATGATTACGCAAATTCTCATAAGACTCACATCTAAGAATTTTTTGTTGCTTACGTATGAAAAATAATCGCTCACTTTCAATCATGGTATAACCATCAACTAAAAATTGTTGGAACAACCTTTGTGCATTAAGAAGTAGTGAGAACGATTGATCTCTATCTTGAATTCGGTAAGCGAAAAATTCTCTCATCGTACATGTTGGGCGCTTGCTGTTACTTGAAGATGTAATACCTCTATGAAGGATGTCAACTCTATAACCATCATCGCCATATGGAAATAGTAATGGATATTGAAGAGCAAGATAAGAAGGATGCAATTCACTGATACGCTTTAGTAATCCTGATGATGTTTCAACAATGATGTCTCTTTTATCAATTGAGTCACGAATGTCACCAACAATTAAAGCGGCTACCTCAGAAGAAGTTGGTAAGGTATACGTCCTTCCATCTTGTTCTCTTTTTCCAATTAGTTTTAATTTCAAATTAGCGCCAGGATTTTCATGAAGACTGTCTCTTACCATCCTATAAGACTTGACCAACGCATTGTTTGAATCTAACATAGCCTTCAAAAATTCTATAATCTGGAGATCAAATGGTCTTGAACTTGATGTAGAAGAAGTTGTTGGTCCACTGAAATTATTAAAAAAAATATTAATGTTAGTAAAAATATATAAATGATGTGAAATGATTTATTAAAGTTGATTGTAAAAATATACCCAATACTTATCGATCTATTTGAAATCTCATTATCCGTATCATATATGTATAACTGACAGAATTTTGGTCTTGATCCACCAGTAGGTAGAAGACTTCCCATACTATGATAATTTTGACCGCTAAGTCTGAATATGTATGGTGCGTTGCCTGTGTTGATAGATGAATCAACTTTGCCTCCCATTGATGTAAATGAAAACATTGAATTCAAATGACGAATGTTTTTCATGAAGTATTTGCTTTTAGAATCCATGGAACGGTAAAGATTTTTGTAACATGAAGGTGCTTCTTTTAATGGTGGTAGCTCAACTTTACCGTAACCACAACATAAGGAATAAGATGTATTCCTTTTTTGTTTCCCTCTAACCGATTCATCTTTCCATAGTTTTGCATGACACATATGACATATAAAAGTCTGGTCTCCATGATCCAAGTAATCTATTGAATATCATAAATAATAAATTTTTTTGAATATAATTAAATATATAAAATAAATAATATAAAATTTTGTATAATTATGATCACCTATCGAAGTACCGCGGAAAACATCTTCAATAATGTGGTGATCATTAATTTCTTCATCTAATGTTAAGTCAAACATAGGTATTGCAGATATATGGGTAGCCTTCCTTTTTAATTGATGTTTTCCTCTTGGTAACTTGATTGATGAAAATTTTTGAATGATGGTTGAACGACCGGTGGATGTCATGCCAATATCAAACACCGAATTATCATTGTTAATAGATAGCGGTGTTTGATTTTTATTATTGATAATATAATTTTCTGACAAAATAAAGATACAAATTAGAACGTTAGGAATTTTTATAAATTATATAAATGTGAAACATACATTTTAGAAATTGTCTATAAACAAATGCATACCATTTGAAATGTTAGATAATGGAGTTCTAACATTTATATTGGAAGAAGGAGAACGGATAGTTGTATGTTGATATACAAATGATTTGACTGAGTTTATATTTTCCTTATTTGATGTAACGTTTGTATAGCAACTCATAGAGGGTAAATAACAACGACGATTGTAGACATCTGTTATATAATTATAATAAAAATAGTTAGTAATAAAACATATAATATTAAATTTTATAAATTTAATATTAATAATATTGAAATTTGATATATCATATATAGTTAAGAAATAATTGTAAAATGAATGAACAACAATACCGTTATTTGACATGTGAGAAACATGTGAAATAGATGTTTTTTGATGCTTAGATGTATTAAAAGTTTGTTTGGATTTTTTATTATCCAAATATAACTTCCTAATTTTTCTTCTCTCTTTTGCATTAATAGAGTCTGGAGTTTTAATCGAACCTGTAAAATAATAGAAAATAATTTAAAGACGTTTGGTTATATAATGTTCAATATATTAAATTTTATAAAATTTTATTTATTTTAAAAATAATTATGAAGAACAGATTAAAAATAAATAAATAAAACATATTACATATGAAAAAGAAAGTAAGAAAATTACCGTATGCGCTAAAATGAATAGCATGTGTAAAAGGTATACGTTGAGACGATTCCGTGGTACAGTTTTTCTTGGATTTTTTATTATCCAAGTATAACTTTCTTTTTTTTCTTCTTTCTCTAGCGTATATGGCATCCATGCTCTTGTTTGATATATATTAAAAACAAAATAGTAAATTAAAATAGGAAATGAATAATTTAAAAATAACTATTAAGAAATTGAATAATAATAAAATAACAAACAAATTATAGTTATAAATTAGAATGTGTAATGAGTTAGTGGAATATATATTATATATTTAAGATAAGATGTTTTATATATAACTTAAGTCATTTTTTTTTAAATCATTTTAATTTATTTATTGATAATACAATGGAAATACCACTATAAGTAATGTTTTAAAATGTTTAAGATATTACGGTTGACATTTTAAACACGTTTTGTGCATAAAGTAAATCAAATACATGAGAAATCAAAAAAATTTCATTTTAATGATTATTCATAAATTTTAAATTATAATAAAACATTATAACCCACCTAAAAGTTATCACTATTCCCCAAACCTTTCCTTTCCCCTTTTGTCTGTAACACGAACAATGAAACGAGTTATAAACCTAGACCTAGAATTTCAATTGCATACAGATTTCCACAGCCACCATTCGATTTCTTAAAGGGTGTAAATGTTTATTATGGCGATAAAGATGAAGGAAGATACCAATACACCACCGATTAGAAATGCGAAGTGAAGAAAAGGTTACATGGAGTAATACCTGATGTCGAAGTCGGAGATTTATTGAACGCAACTTTGGGGTTTGAAGAAAGCAAGAAAACAGGTAACAGGTGATCAATTGATGATTAATGTTAGTTTTGTTAACAGAAAATACATTATGTCGAAGTAATTTTACCTGTTTCACTTTGATCCAGAAATGTTGAATACGAAGATGTAAGCGAAAACTCAAGCCGTTCAAAAGAATACCCTTCACATTCGTTAATAGCGGTAACACAAAAAGGTACAAATGGTTTTGGTTCGATTTTTGAAATTTGAGTCTTTGTTTAAACATTTGAATTTTGAAATTGCTAAATTTTAGAGAAAATCTCCTTAATGATTATTCAGGGATTATAAAATTTTAGTGGGTAATTTGCATCACATATAATCCCTGATTTTTAGAAATGGTTTTGTTGTTTTCAGTTTTCACAAATTTCCCATTATACCCTTTTTATAGTTGTCATTCCTGTTTTTTGTAGAATTTCAAAGAAAAAGATGCTTTTTAATATAAAATAACAAAAGTATGTGTATTTGTTGTTATTTATGTTTCAAAATGAATAAAAAAACCTTAGCATTTGTTCTTATCTGTTTATTGAAATGCATTCTAGTTGACTCAATAGAGATATGTTTTATTTTGTTGATCAGAAGTATGGATGCTTCAAATATTACTTTCAGAAAAGATATTGACCTATCAATTCTGATATCACGATCAAAGTCAAAGTATTAAATAGAGATTGATATATTGAAAAATGAATTTTCATAGATTTGTTTATGAAAGTAATTGTTCGGTTTTTAGCATACCACTTTTATAGAACAGTTACATTTTGTGTCATATTTTCTACACAATATCTAATTATGTTGTTGCTATTGTGAAAAATAAACTTTCATCGATTTTTTTTAAATGTTTGGTTTTAGCATCCTACTTCCATACAAAATTACATTTTTATAATCTTTTGTACACAATATCAAAGTATGTTGTTATTTTGGAAAAATTACCTTATGATTATTTACAATCGAGAATCTGATGATTTATTTACAATTATTAATTGTTTTTGTCTATATAAATTTTTAATCATATTGATCATGGTTTCCACGGGTTATAACCTAGTTATCCTATATATAAAGTGGTTCAAATTATATAAAAAGTCATATTATCTTGGTTGGTAAAACATATATTTATATATAACATATCATTTCTAAACACACCCACAGCCATACCATCTGGCATATGTGGACCAAAACCATTAAAAAGCATGAAAATACAAAGGAAAATTATAAAATATACAATTTTATGACCGAAATTGCAAATATATGCAAAACTAAAAACCAAAAACATAATACTCTTAGAATGTACATATAATCTTTAATATTATTACAAAGCAATTAAGGACAGAAACTTCCTAATTACAGCTTTCTATTTTGAAATTGCATTGTTATAATTATGAACACTTTTCTTACTTTTTAAGTATAATGATGAAGTTGGACCAATTACGTATTGCACTTTTAACGTGCAGTCTGGTTGTGTTTTTTTAAAACACAAATGGTCTCCATATATAAATCAAAATGGCTAAATCTAATAAATGGACGTTTTTAAATTAAAAATCTTACAACTATAACATGATAGTATGAAAGTATATTGCTATAACTGGGAATAGTTTTGTTACCTTTACACACACAGACAAACACACACACCGAGAAACTCACAGAATGCAAAATACTAAAGAAACTTTATATTAATACCATATTCAGATAAGATAATCTAATGACAAATATTCAAAAGAATGTCAAAGGAAAATTATAAACCATAAATTCATAGTCATAATGTATTATGAATGTCGGAAAAACATACCATCAAAAAAACAATCATCCCCAACAAAAAAATAAACTTAAAAACCACAATGTCAAAGTACCGAATGATAAATAAAATGCAAAATCACTGTTTTAAAATCATCACTACCTTATGAAACTTCTCATTAAAATAAAAACTCAGCCACTTTTTTCCAACTTAACCTTCACAATCTAGTTATTGCCTCCTTCCAATGAAATTTTTGGAGTTTTCGTTGATGATAACTTTTCATTCATCTCCAAATCAAAGACTTCTTCCAAATTTCTCTTCAAAATTGTTGGTGTATTTAAACTCTTCATGGGACTTGTTGTTGAGTTTTTATCAACAGTTTCAGGTGTTATGTTGTCGTCTGTCCTAGAAATTGCATCCTAAAAAAACAGATGTACTCAATAAAAAATTTACGAAGTGAAGTAATATAGTTATAACATAATTCGATTCAAATATAATTTCTATATAACCTTCAAAATCCGATTCTCCTGTGATTCAAAATCTGCTTCGGCAATATCAAAGGACTGTGAAGTACCAATCTGAATAATAAATATATATTATATGAACATAAATCAGCATATTATATAAAATTGTAAACATTAATACCATAAACCATATGATTTAGTAAACAGGAGAGTTGATGTACACATAGAATTAGTAATAATAATAATAATAATAATAATAATAATAATAATAATAATAATAATAATAATAAAATGACCTGTGAAACAGTAAACTTATTTTCAAGTTCTTCAATCAACTTTTCATCATCGCTGACTCTACATATACTATATTGGTTGTTCCTTTTTGAAACGTTGAAGTGTTTGATTGTTATTTTAAACGCCAATTTCAAACCTTTAAGTGCATTTATCTATCCGGGATAGAAAGTAGTACTAAAACCAAGCTAGAAAAAAAAGATAAGAAATAAAAGTGAGATTAAAGTAATAAGATTAAGTGAGTGTATTAATTAATTTTAATTTAATTAAGGTGCATCACCTGTAATGTTTTATTAAACAGGTCCTTGGCTGATTTCTTCAAAAGATACTTTCCATCCCTTTCAAACATGGTTAGGGTAACAGTACCAGTATTATCTTGTACACGTAGCGGGATCATAAATCTAAAAAAAAATGATAATATAAAATAATATGAAATATATATGAAATATATTATAACTTATACTGATTAAGTAGGAAATTAATAACCTGGGAATAACTGTAGTTTCAGTTTTTGTGCAGTCCTTATTATGACATTCATAACCAATAAAAACCCCATCAGCATTAGGTTGATCGTTTGCACCAGGAGGACGAAATGCTTTGTAGTTGCAACTTGTACATGCTAGATAATGCCAATTTTCATTTTGTAAAATTCCCTTTATAGTACCCACGATAATGAATGTATTTTTCTGCACATTAAAATTATTTTGATAATGTACTATAAATAAATAAAAAAGTAGGAATATATTTAGTATAAAATATATAAAAACACACCTCCAAGGGTTCAGAAATCTCAGAAATTGTCTTCAACTGAAAGTTAACCATGAAATCATCATGTTCGGAAACTTTATTAGACTTTATACATGTCAATGTATTTGTGGATGAATCAGGGCGATCATCTCCATCCAAACTGTTTTTAAACAAAAAAGTTAAACTAATATTAAATCACATAAAAGTTAATTGTAGAAATTAGAATGATAAAAGATCAATTACCTTTTCTTAAAAACATTGATTTCATCAATGTCTGTGTTAATGAACAGCTTTTACACGGAAAAGTAGGTGTTAACTGTTGGACGATCTAAAATAAAGTATTTATTAAATGTTAGGATAATGATTAAAAAATAATATTTAATAACAAAATAATACAATATACCTCTCCAAATACTAAGTTTTGCAAATTGAAGGATAACAATGATACGAAGATTGTGCGGATTGTTATCAAGAAAGTGTTGCATCTTGTAAGCAAAATCACCCCACAAATTGACACTTAATTGCAAACCGCTGCCAAATAAAAGTGTAAAATTAGATGAAACGATAATGATATGTACTTAAAATATACAAAATTTAAAAAATAAAATAACAAACTTTGCATCTTGGATTTGGATGTTTAGTCTGTGTTTTTTCTTATCATCATTGTCTCGCACCATCTCACCAAACGCAACCACTAATCCAATAACATCTATCAACAACAAAAAAAGATAAATTAAATATTATTATGAAAATAAAAATATGATATTATATTTATATTCAAACAATAAAATTGACCATAATAAAAAAATAAAAATAAAATGCAACTAACCGATAGCGATGTTTTCAGGATGGACCAATGAGATAATAGATTGGTAATCAACAAACTCAAAACCAAATGTAGGTCCAGAAAAATCATGACACTCCGTAACAACAGTTTCATGGACAAAACTAAGCTTATGATCTTGCCGAGTTAAAGTAAAACCACCCATCCTTTGAGATGCAAAGCTTGGACATTTTATGTAAAATGTTAATCCATCTTTTAGAATGTTTTTGAAACGATAGATGTTTTTTCTTGTTACATTTGCTTGGATCTTAGTACCCTAAAAGAAGTAGAAAATATAAATTTATAATTTAATCATATTAAATTTTGCATGTGAAATGAATATATCATGTTAAATTGTAAGATACCTGCTCATCTATTAAGATTAATTCAATGGAGAAAAGTTCGTCATTGTTATAGAATGAAAAAAGGTTCCATAGGTTTATCACTTTGACTTTGATAGTCGAATCATCTTTAAGTACATCCAAATCTGCAATCAAAGTAACATTTGGATGTGCCATCGGTCTGCAAAGAAAAAACAAAGTGAATAAAAAAATTTACAATTAAATTTAAATCCCCTTTTTGTGTTATGTAACTGTTGCAGCAGAAAGTAAGATGCTATAAATGGATTAAAAGTAAATAGGTCTTATAGGCATATGATTATAAAACTGTAAAATACGAAAAAATAAATAAATAAATAAACCAAATCACAGTTAATAAGACAACAGAAAGAATCAAAACCATTTTTCACATTTGATTGATAAAATGTAAAAATAAATAACATAAAGCATTCAAATCACATAAAGTATTAAAATAAAATTAAAATATTTTTTTAGCTTTGAGTATTAAATTGAAATAATACAAATTTATGTTATATAATCGTTCATACAGAAAGTATGATGTTATAGATGTAAAAATAAATCACATAATGCATTCAAATCAAAGAATAACTAAAACATAGCTGCTGTATAGCGTGCATTTTTTGTCCTTTGATTAAAAAAAGTAAAATATGAAAAAATAAAGGAATATTTTGCTGTGCCATCGGTCTGCAAAGAAAAAATAAAGTGAATAAAAAAATTTACAATTAAATTTAAATTCCCTTTTTGTGTTATATAACTGTTGCAGTAGAAAGTAAGATGCTATAAATGGATTAAAAGTAAACAGGTCTTATAGGAATATGATTATAAAACTGTAAAATACGAAAAAAAATAAAATAAAAAATAACATAAAGCATTAAAATCACAGTAACAATTAAAGATAGCTACTGTGTGTATTATACACGAATATAAAATGAAATAAAATTAACTTTTGATTGCATTTTAATCAAATAAAAAGAAACATACCTGATGGATTGAACACAGAACACCAGTAACAAAAACAAAGTGACATTAAGCATTCAGATCACAGTAACACTCAAACATACCTGATTGATTGATTGAACACAAAACAGGTGCAGACTGAAAAGAATAAAACGTCAAAGGAAGATGGAAATTTTGTTTTGGGGGTTCGGTTTTTATAACACGATGAAATTAACAAAAAATGAGGTATGTATGGTATAAGATCAATAAATATAAAAATAATGCAACTTTTAAGGGATATAGTAAATAAAAATTCAAAAAACCAAATCTTTATTTGAAATGATTCAGTCAAATGAAATCTATATATTTTTGAATTTTTATATTTGAAGAGATAAGTTTTAAAATTAATTTGATTGCATAGTTTTGATGCAGGTAATATCGGATATGAGATAAATGCGATAATTAACCAAAACTAAAATCAAGTTATTTAGGAAATGATGATCAAATGATGCAGTAGAAGTCAACGATTTGTGTTAATTTGATTCCTGATTTACAAGAGATGATATGCTCGATTTTGAAGATTTTAATTTCACTGTATTTATTGTAAAACAAATAACCGATTGCCATAAAAATAGGATTGATATGAATGTTTATTTGCAGGATTTTAAAAAATTGTCTCCTGATTTTTAGGAGTTGCTGTATTCGTTTATGAGGTGCACAATTGGGCGGGAAAATGAATCAGAAGGGTTCCCTATAGATGACACGTGGCTAGTTGGTGTTGCAAAAAAGGACACGTGGAGTGTAAAGGACTCTTTTATAAAGAAGATATATATATATATATATATATATATATATATATATATATATATATATATATATATATATATATATATATATATATGGTTGTTATGTACCTAATATTAGGTATAGAACCATCAAAAACTACATAGTTTTAACAAAATGTAATCAAATTTCTCTACCATCTTTTTTGAATTATCTATTAGACTAGATGATAGACTTTGTATATATTTTTATGGAGTTTTAAATATTTAATTTTGCACCACAAACCATATATAAAAATACATAATCAACTACCTATAAATCTTCATAATAAGATTTAATATAGAAAAATATAGTGAAAGATTGAAATTGTTCATGAAAAACCCAATAAACTTCTTCCCATAACATATCAAAAAGAACTATGCAAGTATATATATGATAGGTGTCAAAAAAAAATTATGAAGCCTAATAGAGGTCTAATATAAACAACACATTCGAAATACATAGATGTTGGAGAAAAATTATGAAATAAGAAATAATATGAGCTCAAAAACAACAGGAAGAAGCTAACAATGAAAAAAAATGTTCTTTTTAATCAAAATGAAGTTAATTTTGATGATTTTACACCTAATCTTACATACATGACAGCCACATATTCACTTTTCTCATATATATATATATATATATATATATATATATATATATATATATATATATATATAAGGGCTGACAAAAATGCATTATGGAAAACCAACCAGCATGTTACCAACCGAACCAAGAAAGTTGGTAGCCAATATGTTTGGTAGCCAACATCCTTGGTCGGTAATACCGTACCAATTAAGCAAACTTGGTACGGTAATGGTCAAAAATTTGAATACCATAGTAATACCGTACCAATCAATTCATTATATATATATATATAGACACACACACGAAGTCTTACGTATATTCCAATTAACAAGTGTGTTTAGTTTTTGCAATTTTAAGAATATTGGTTATTACCACTTTAAAACACAAAATTAAAATGTTACTTTAGCTTTATTTCAATAGAATTCTTTTGTAAACTAAAAGATCTATGAACTAATTTTTTTATTAAACTAATTTATTTACTAAATGTCAAAATTACCTGATATCTTTGTTAAATCTTACAATAAAAGATTAAAAGTTGATATATATCATTACCAATTTGTACCAATCAAAATTGTTGGTAGCCAAACATATTGGTACCAAGTATACTTGGTAAGGTTCTGGTAGAAAATTTTGTATACCAACTATAATTGGTACGGTACACGGTTTAGAGAAAAAAGAATCGGTACCGTACCAATTCCACCCCTAATATATATATATATACACACACACACACGGCGGAACCGCCTAAGACAGTTCCACAATTTTAAAAACTGGAACCGAATTAAAATCAACTAGAATTTTTTTTTTCTTGTATCTTTAACACGAGACAACAATCATAGTGGTTTAAGTTCAAGCCATATATCGTGACAATCGCAATGGCCTTAATGTTCTAAAACCATTTATAGACTTATCAATAACAGAAAATTCATAACAAAGAAGGATCCACACTAAAATATTAACATGCAAATTCAAAATATTAAAGTTTTAAACTCATAATAGCAAACAAACCGAAACCGATAAAAAGTTGCATACTGACATATACTCATAGACTCACTAACAACATAAGTAATATGTTTGAAACCGAAAGTATTTATATTTATAAGAAAGTGACCATTACTCCCATTTTTACTTAGCCATCGATATGTGAAGGTTGTAAAGCTCGAATCTTCATCACCACCTTCTTGTAAGATGGGTCGGATCCAACCCGTGAATCAAAAACGCATTGAGCATTTCCATCTCGATACCCATATCCGATATGAACACCACACTGGCGACACATAAGCTTGGTTTTTGAATCGTTACGACCCAAATAAAATGGTAAGCAAGACACCTCATCAACTTGAGTGAAGCGACTTAGATCAATGGATTGAAAGGAGATCACACCTTTCTTCATGGATTCACGGTATTTGGAGGTTGTTCCGATTATCCGATTCGCAGATGATAAGTTCAATTGGTATCCACACCAACAACTGTTAGAAAGAAGGAAACAAATTAAATAGTAATTACTTACATCCATATATACAACACTTTATACTTTGATGAAAAAATAACCAAGAACTAAGCTGGACGACGATTATTACTCGAATAATGGTCTTTGAATTTACCTTATTCGTACAAGATTGTGTCTTTTATATAGCAAAGCAATTTACCTTCACCATCGACTTATGTAGCTAAGAAAACCTTTAGTGTTTCCTTGTGTTACACTCATGGATCTATATACCTTTAATATATCATACGATTGTAAATTATTTTTATTCAAGACAATTCGACTTTGAACAAAATTTGCAACAAAAAAGCATCCTGAACCATTTTGTTAAAATTCAAGCAAGAAATGGTTATATACGTATATAAACAGTTTGATCTAGTTTGCAAGCCATGGAGATGATCAGATGACTGTAATTTTATGGGCAAACACCAAAATCACAGTAAATTTAAAGAGGAAGCAAGAACCCCATCCAGATTTACACGATCTAAACCTAAACGAGACTTGTTGAGCCATTATAGTATCAAACAATCAAATGGATCCGAAATCAACACAGACAGACGCACCGATGTTCACGTAAATTCTTTCCAAAACGAAGATCGGCAACCAAACCACAACAATCAAGAGAAAGAATGTATGACTGATTAAAACACGAACCAATTTACGAGATTTGAAATCGATTTGAATACCTGTATGATACATCAGCTTGAGACATCCTTGGATGGTTGAATCAACAATGCTGCTCCTCTCTCTCTTCATGTGATCGATGGGGGTTTCTTATATTGGGAGTAGGGTTTGTAATGTTCTTGCCAAGTGGAAAGAATCGGAGAGTGAAAGAGATAGGGATCAGCGCCAGCTGACGACTGCTCTTTACTTGTTCCAGATGATCTCTTGGATTGATTTCGCGAAAAAAGGCTTTGCTTTCACACATACGTAATGTAATGGTGTTGTGTGTGTATGAAAGGATTTCTTCACCTCTTCAACAGATAAGCAAATTGGCAAAGATGACCCATCAGGTTTTCAGTTGTGACATAATAACATGTTAACTAGTTAAAATGAGCAAGTAGGGGTTCACAATGCAATGGTATAAGAAAATTTGAATATGGTTCATGCAAATCTTATATTTGATTCTTATTAAATGAATATTTAACTAATAATCAACCACTTTTGTTGAACTCTATCACGCCTCATGTTAAATTTTATGGTCAACAAATGGAGTATTTTGTGTGTTTATGTGAGACAAATGATGGTAACAATTGGTACGATTTTTGTAGCGTTTGATTGTTTCATGTGACATAACTATCGTTATTTAATCGGCGAAGACGATGGTTTTTGATGTTTTTTTATATTTGACTAGAGATATATACAATGGCCAGATAAAAAAACCGATTTTAGTGTTATGTTTGGAAAAATTAGGATTATTATCAAAGTGATAGTTCCTCTTGTATTACCAAATTAGGATTTTAGTGTTATGTTTGAATATGGTCGTTGAGAAGTAAACCCTAAGAAAAGCTTTCACTCAAGAAAGAAATCCTATTCAACACGAAAAAAAAAATACAATATAAGTTTATTGATTTATTAAGTGGTGTTGATATTATATATAAGTAAGACTAGCACTCATGTAAACTGGATCGAAGAATAAGAATGGTAAAATAAATAATGTGACGTCAACTAGTGTTGACCGTTATTTACCACGAATCCATCAACGTTATACCACTATTATATATGATTTTCCAGTTTCATTCATAATGGGTTACTTCTATATTAAATATGTTATTATATGAAAACCAGGAACACGTGAGTTGCGATCAATGCGATGTTCATCCCTCATGGTCGATCTTTCTGAATCGACTGAGGTTTGCGAATGGGGAGTAAGTAGTGAACAATAGTTTAACGACATGCACATGTTACAACTTGAATTCAGACTTCGCTTCTTCAAGTGACTTCCACACAATCTACTACTAGGTACGTGATGTTCCATTTAATCCTTTGATTACTTTCTATATTTTATCAGAATAACCATTTTATATGTCAGTCACTCAGTTGTAAGTTATTGCTAATTTTATGTGTTAACTAAAGTCATGTTCTTCAGTTAAGTTTTGTTTGTAAATTTATGTGTTTACACTAGAATTTAAGATTTCATATTTAATAAACTTTTATCAAAAGTAGTCCACATACAACCAAGTTTGTGACTTGTACACTGTG